GGATGGAGTGTCAGACAATGACTCCATGTGCCCCTTGGCAAGGCTGCTGGGAACACCCCAATAACACCGTCAGCACGAGGCAGAGAGGCGTCCATCAGCCCGCACAGCCCCCTCTCCCCATCGGTGCTCACTCTGCCACAGAAATATGCCTTTCAGAGTCTGTTACAGGGCTCCCCCACTGATGATTTAGACAATAACAGGGCTGGAATCACAGAACTTCACTGAAAAACTGTGACCTCCTTAATTAAGAGGCAGTGACTCTCACATAAAACCCTTCAGGTTCCTTAGGTGGGACCAAAGGGTCCATGCTGCCATTAACACCACCACCATTTAAGATGTGTACCACCAGCTCCCTAAGCTTGGGATCATTGTGGTCACTTGTTTTCCAGCTCATAATTGTGACGTTCTTTCAGCATAAGAACATAAAGAGCAAATTCTAACAGATCACGGAATAATAATTCTTTTACTACCCCCCTAACACTTCAGTTCTGAGGATTTGAAGCACGACCTGCCATTTTAGTGGAGGAATATTTTATCCTAACCTCCTCTCCAAAGAATATACTTCCATTAAAGTTGATATTACTGCTCAGTCTCCCACTGGGTGAACTGCAGCTTCAGAGGGATATGAATGCCCATGTCGTGATGTTTACAGCAGTGGGTGCACATGAGGCACAAGGAAGACAGAATCTAGAAACAAATCACATGTTCTCAAATACGGCAGAAGAAAACAGCAACGGGAGACAAAACCTTTTTCTGAAAGGGTCTATTCTGTGGCAGAAAATTGAAAAGTCATTTTAAAAATGTTGTATGAAAATCCTGTTGCACTAAAATGGGCTTAGCAGAGCTAAATAGCTAACCTGAAAAAAAGTCCAACAGAGACAAGTATCAAGGCAGTAACGGCACCACGACAGCAACCACAAGACTTAATTTCTTCCTGGAACACTGCTGCACCACCACCACCTGCCCTGACAGTGCCCCTGCAGTGTGGGTCACCACAGTGCTGTCAGAGCTGGGATCTGTGGACTACCTCACTGAAGGAGGATTTAATTCCTCATGCAGGAAAACAGCAGAACCCTGAGCAGAAGTCAGAATTCACCATGCTGACCATGAATATGCAAGGAAGAGCCATTTGTGCCATTTGAAGTAGCCACACATCTAAACACTTTTCCCCTTCAAGAGGCCACACCAGAAAACGTTTACTTGAAAGGTCCATATCTTTCTCTTCCAAACACACAAAAATATTTGAAGTGTCCAAGATACCCTTTATATTAGGAGAAAAGTCATCAATTATATTTGGTATTGGCCACTGCACCACTGTGGGCATGCACAAGACCCAGTAAAAAACAACTGCTTATAAACAGTCAAGGGGACCCAAATTCCCATTTGAAGGTTTCTTTAAAGATGGACTTCAACTGACACTAATAAGCTTTAGAAACTGTTTTTTAAAGAAGCATTTCCCCCTACACATCCTCGGGTACCTCTCTTTTAGAAGATTTTTATTAGTCTATACAGGTTCAGAAAATGACTAAAAGTAAGACCAAAAAAAGGGGTATTATGCTTTACCAAAGTCTGGGAAGCCAGGCTATAGAAGTCTCATCCTTGTAACATTTTTTTTTTTTTCTTTTACTACTTCAATGAGCCTTGAATACATTTTTTGGGTTTAATTTTTACTAAAATAAGACATTTTTTTCTTCAGAGGCTCTTCAGGGCATTCTGTCCTGTGCTCTGTGGTTGTGGACCAGTCAAGACATGCATACATTTCACAGCAACTCTACTTCTGCACAGTTAATACAAAGTCTTTGTGGTGAGCAGGTAGGATCCTCCACTATAAATAACATTTTTAATCACATGCTTTTTAAGGGCAAGAATCAAGCCTCCTTACTTTTTCAGTGCAGAAAACACTATTGACTCACAAACCTGGAAAAGCTCAGCTTTGTCCCACTGATGTAGTTCCACTCTGCATTTCAATTTTTCAGAGTTTCTGTCTCAATAGCATGAAGCCCTGTGCTGCCCAGTGCAGCCGTGGCACTGCAGATGAAAAGCCAGCCTTTGCTGTGCTCTGCAAGCACATGCACAGCTTTCCGTGCTGGAAGATGCTCTTCAGATATGAGATGTTATACAACATTTATTAAATATCTATTCCTCTTTTTCAATCAAAAATAGGCTGGCTCCCATGATGATTAATCCTTGATTGAGATGAAAAGTGCAAGGGGTTTCTTCTTACTAGGCAGTGATTTTTGTTGTCAAGAGAAAGGTCATACAAACATGAAGACTGTTACAATGCTTGCAAAGTTTAGAATTAGTATAACAGGACAACCCCAAACCAAAACAAAAATGTGTTTTCATCAAGAGCTAGAAGTGAAGATATCTGCACTTTTTCATGTAGTTTTCATGTATTACTTATAATACATTAAGTTTAGAAATGTAAGTATGTTTTGAGACATCCCACACAACCTTTTCCTTTATATGATTTACCTCATGATCAAATGAAAACTGAATTTCTTCCCACTTACCCAAGAAAAAGAAGTCAGAGAATAGCCAAGTGCACTGACTCCATTAGGAGAATTCAAGAAAAGAGAATTCAAATAACTGAACCCTACAAATGGATGCAGACTACATAGAGTAACATGAAAAAAACTGCTTGCTAGCCCTGCAAATCAAACCGTTCGTCTCGTCAGCAAGATGACTGGAACAATTGCAGCACTTGTGAAATGAATTATAAATCTAGCCTCTCTGTCTTAAAAATGTTTCTATTTAAAAAATGATGCAGCAAAAAAGCACACATGCATTTGAATATACAACCAGAAATAGCAACTGTTAAAGGCTTGCTTTTCAGTCTGCCTTTCATATTGAACATGAGTTATTTCAGTCTAAAAGTCAATCATTCAAACATTTACTAACTAAGAAACTGATTATATGGTTGTCCTAAGTAAACATTGCTTGAACGATAAGTCATCAGGAAATTGTACAATCAAGTAGACATTTTTATGGAAATCTGTGTGATATCTCTAAGGAATGTAACAGTTGAAAGCTTTGAACTTAGAGTGACAAGTGATCAAAGAAACCCTACCACAAAACATTCTAAAAAGTCAACCTCCTAAAAGTATATGTAAAAATTGATTTGGGGAATAAATTGTATTATGTTGTCTAGTTAAAAAAATAGTAACATCACATTTCTGTGGTCCTTAAAATAAAATGGACTAGCTTCCAGCACTGATAATTTTCCCATTGAATTCAATGGGTGTAGCACACAGCTTAGACAGGCACATGATGTTCTCAACACTTGCAAAGTCCTTAGTTTATTTTAACTTTCTCCTAGAATTTCTTTCCCCTAGCCATTTTTTTTTTTCCAGAGATTTCTGCCTAGAAGGCAGAAAGCTTAAAAGGACGTAAGGAAAAAGAAGGTTGTTCAAACTCAGTGCTTTGCTTTCATCCACACTGGAGGAATCTGCTAGCGGTACACTTTTACTTCATCAATTCAGCAAGAAACACAATGTGAGTCTTCAGTTTGCTCGTCAGTGGACATTCAGAAGCACCAGCCCGACAATTATTACAGGCATGTGACACTGAACAAATAGGGAGAAGGTAAAGGGAAAATCTTTTCTTAAAGCCAGCCATAAACTGAGAATTTAAAACAAGTTTGCCACTAGGTTTAATGGTAGAAGGATAATTAGAAAATATACAATGGTATATATGGAAATGTACTTCACATACAGAACATCACCTCTGTGGCCACTTAATGAATCTGCTAAGACTTCAAGTTAAAATAAATGCCTTAAAAATTAGGACATGGAGTGAAGCCTGGATACCAAATAGCTGGTTTCCCCATACCTGTCATACCAGAGTTAAGAACATCAAGGGAAATCTTTGCTTAACTTCTCAACACATCAGTCACAGCAATCAAAAATGTCTATGTAGATGGAGTGCTGGACTAAGAAGACTTCTAATTTCCAGCTCTGATTAGCATAGAACTCCTTTCTTCATCTTTCTTACCCCATCTATTAATGGGGATAATTATGCCCACCTCCTTTATAAAGCACTTGAAAATCTACAGTTAAAGATGTTCTTAAACAAGCAATTATAAATAGCAGCAACCATGTACCAGAGTTCAATTATCAAGTCATTACATGAAAGCAAGAATCCAATTGTTCCTGGAATTAGTACACAAAATTCAGGTTTTCCACTGACATTAGCTTCCTAGTACTATCATCATTATTACAACAACTGCATTATACAAAGATGCACTAAAGGACCTGACCCAACTACCATTGACTGACATTTTGAAGACTTTCCAAGCTTCAAACAACAACAGAGCCAGGATTTTTTTTTTTTTTTGTTGAAAATATCCATGTTAAAAAAAGACACTTTTGACCAGCTCAAAGCTTAGATGCAACTCTGAGTTATCAAGTCATTACATGAAAGCAAGAATCCAATTGTTCCTGGAATTAGTACACAAAATTCAGGTTTTCCACTGACATTAGCTTCCTAGTACTATCATCATTATTACAACAACTGCATTATACAAAGATGCACTAAAGGACCTGACCCAACTACCATTGACTGACATTTTGAAGACTTTCCAAGCTTCAAACAACAACAGAGACAGGATTTTTTTTTTTCGTTGAAAATATCCATGTTAAAAAAAAAAACTTTTGACCAGCTTCAAGCTTAGATGCTACTCTGAGTCTGCAGCTTGAATTGTTGCAATGGCTCCATTCTAAAACAGACTGTAGCACTTAGCAAATGTATTTTGCTGTCACATCCATCAACCCCTCCTCTTCCAGGGTCTGGCCAACAAGGGCACCTTTTCATCATCACCACTCATGCTACCTCTTTCTCCTCTTCTTTCTTCCACTTCTATATGTTACTTTCCTCCTTTCAGCTGCACACAATGCCCTTAATCACTCGGTATGTTTGATGCACACAATTTTCTTTCATCTTGTGCTACTTAAAAATGAAAGAAAGGTGAGAGGATTTGATATAAAAATTAAGCTACTTACCAACTACTGCCAGATTATGCTCTGAGCCACATGCGATCTGAAAAAGAAATACGAATGAATAAAAGAACACACTCACCAGGAGGAAGACAACCACAATTATGACAGGAAATTAAAAATTAACCTGAAACAAACAACCACAGTTTGTAGGATGCAAAATCAAAGTTGCAGTGCTTCCACTTTTAAATGAAATTTCATTTGTAGTCTCACCGAGGGCTTAGTGGCACGGGGTACATTTCTTTGTTTTGTTAACAAACAGACATTTTGTTTTCAAAATACAGTCACCACTGACATTTCAGTCCTCAGAGGCAAGACTGGCCACAATTTTGCTAAAACATTACACCCTGGACAACATCCACCGGGTCCAACAAGACCACTCATGGGCATAGAGCAAACTCAAATTATGCCTCTGCAAGATCAGAGCCACCCAGAGGCAGGTGGAACAAGAAGGGCACTGAAGATCTCCACTTCCCTCATCTATACTGTTTTTTCCAGATGATGTCTGAAGACCTGCACAAAGTGTATAGGCTCGGTGTGATAAACCTTAAGTGATATGATCTCTACGATCACTTGTCCAGAATGGAGAAAAAATAGCACAGAACTCAAGGCTTTATTAGCAGCAGGCTGGTTTAATTTCTAAAAGCTGCAGAAAAAAAGAAACCCAATGCAAACATTTTCTCCCAAGTTCATTAGGGATGGAAATCAGTCACAAATTTCTTTTCAAAGCAAACTCATAGTGTATTTTTCTTGTTTCTTTGCAGCTGCTGTGGAAAAAAATCAGATGTTTAAGTTGCCTTAGCCTACACCACATAGTATCACTCACTAATCCTTCCTGTTCTTCACAAATGATGATAGCACAAGCACTGAGAGCAGCCTGCTGCACAGGCTTGTCTGTCCCATGGAATTCTTTTGCAGTGTCACTGCTGGCATAACTGTCTGACGTAGCATGGACATCAACTCACACAAGGTTACTCTGCTGAGTGCCCTCCAGTTTCCAATTAAAACACAAGCAATCCCCTCAAAATCCTGTATCTGGTTTATTGTCTTCCACCTACTTGTCCATTACACAAACTACTGAGCTGAAGAAAATTAATAAGCACATTCTTCTGCTTCTTAAAAGTACATTTGCAATGATAAAACAGAAGTATATGCTCAATTATACTAAAAAATAAGAAGTCCATACCATCAAAATTTTATATGGCTTTGTGCATGCACTTTATAGTTTTTATGGCCAGAGAAACTGCCACAGTCACCTCAACGTCTGCATAACATAAAACCACCAAAGTTAACAAAAGAGTCCTTGTACTCAGCTCACTGTGCTTGAGCATTTACAGGGGAAGAGACACCCAGGACTGACACACAGGACTAGCTTGAGCAATTGGCTTACAAACTCACCTTGCAAGCCCTACACCTCACAGTGTACCTACACCACAACTGTGACAAGAAAATGCTTGGTCAATGCCATCCTAACACAGCAATGGCAAGGAAGACAAAACTGACTCTTCAGAATAGAGGGAGTGCCAAGCCAAGACTAAAACATTTGGGAAAACAGGGCAAGAAAAGTAACCCAAGTCACAGCACGCTCCAGCATGGCCTCATCTTCAGGAAAATCAAGACAAAGCAGCAGGAAAAGCAATGCCTTTGCAAGAGCAGGACTGCATCAAGTCTTCTGTTCCATAATATTCGGATTTATCCAAAGCTTTAAGCTCCGACTGTTAAAATGCATAAATCACCTCCTTATCCCATATCAGTACCCTCAGCACAAGTCAGAGCCCTGCACAGGAGCAGGGCCCATTCCCAATGCCTACTCACTACTGGCTAATGCTCCCACCAATGCTTCTCCAGCTTAAAGGTTGATGCCATGGAAACAAGATCCACACATGGAAACACACAAAGGCTTTCTAGCAAAAAAGCAAATTCTGCATCTTCATCAAGTGTTGAAAATTTGAGATACTGAAGCTACTGCTAATAAAAGAAATAAATTTCATCTGAGGTGTGAGTAATCCCATCTCAGCTACTTCCCCAGGAAACATGCTAACACAGGCAGGGATTCAAAAGCATCGGTACAAAAGAGCTGCTCGGCTGGTGGCTCGTGCTTACTGCCAGGATCCCCTTCAGAAACAGCACATTAGAAACAAAACAAAAACAACACCCAAACAAGGTGGTGTTTAGAATGCAAAACATCCCCTGATGAAGAAGTATTTTCTCCCTATAGGTAACAGCAGCAGCTACAGAACCTGCAAACCAAATAACAGAACGCTAGTGACCTCCAGCAGCTTTGAACTCTGCTGTGCAGCTGTTTCTCTGCCTGCTGTTCAGAGCCACTCACTAGCCAGCTTCTCAGGTTGAAAGGGAGTCAGTCAAACCACACAGGGTACAAGCAGACCAGGAACTGCTGCATTACACAGACCCACCAGTTCTGGGGCGATGCCCCCAAGTGCCAACACGCTGTGCAGATGTGTTTGCTGCAGCTCTGTAGCCTCGTGGGGTCAAAGCTAGCCCGGTGCTGCTGAACCCCTTTCTCCTGGGTAAAACCACCCCAGTGAAGTGCCAGCTTTCCTAACAACGACTGACATGAATGAAACTCACAAGCTGCTGAAGGCAGTGCCCTGGATTCCCCTGAGCAGGCCCACAGCACAGGCAGCACACGCCTTGTGCCAGCAGCAGTACTGTGCTCTAGGGAGGAATCTGCTAGACTGAGAGCACAGGGCTCACTCACCGCCTCTGCCCTGGCACAGGCCTCACCACCTGACAACAGAGACCGACCTCCTGCAGGAACCCCCAGATAAAACACCCCTTAGGGGACTCTGAAGGGAGCTTTGTGAAGCAACAGCCTTGCTCACCAGCCACGCTGCTTGCTCCAGGCCACACCAGCCAGCCACAGGTTTCCTGCTGGCCTGCACACCTCTGACTCTGGAGCTCAGAAGGGACCACACCACAGAGGTGAGGGCAGGTTGCCACTGCTTAAAGAGCAGTGATGCCTCACAGGTATTTCACAACACCTTTTCTACAATAGCTTTAAAATGTGACACCACGTTTTCCTCATGACTCCCCAAAACAGGCAACAGTGAGCCTAGAGCACATCATTTGCTGGTACAAATACCAGCCAGCCAGAGAACAGCATTGCCAAACAGATGTTTTATGCTTACTTTAGCTGTAATGAGCTCTGCAGCCAGCACAGGTCACTGGGAGAAGCCTGCTATTTACTGCAGCAACCATAATTTTCTGGCTACTTCTCTTGTGTCCCCACCCCCAACGTGCTGCAGAGAAATTACATTCCAACAGACATCTGCATGCTCCCAGCGGATAAATACATTCAAGGGTACTTATAAACACACAATAATGCTTTCTAATTGGGTAATATTTTTACATTCTGTTTTAATTGAAAAAAATCACTCATCTTAAAGACAAATCAGAGTGACTGCTAGTGAGCAACATCCTGTGAGCCTAAGAAATGGGACACCCTACACAGACACAGCTCACAGTGAAGTTTCCTCTCTGTTTGGAGGAAAATTTACGAGCTGTGCGAGGTTATTGTGATTCTATAGAAACAATCTCAAAACACTTTACAGATGCCTGTGAGGCAGAAAAAGAATGCTTAGGGATCGTTTTACTCAGAACTTACCTTATTATCTGTGGCCTTTCAGTCATACCTATATTGTTTGTTTCTTCCCTTAAATTGTGTGTTAGCAAGCGGCTTTCTACCAAGCAATGGTTGCAGTTCAGATCCAGCCATCCAGATTTAACACAAGTGGTGAGAAGCTGCCAAGGGACCAGCATTTATTAATGATACATGTCAGGACATAAGCTGCATGGATGGCGAGGAAAGACCTTAACCCAGCAACCACTAACTCTGGGCAAAACACCAACACCTTTCTGCAGCCTGCAGAGACGCTTATGGCCCAGCCCTAAGAAAAATTAATTGAATGTGAAAACAGTGAATCACACATAAGAGGAAAAGTATTTCACTCAAGAAGAAAATATTTTTATATTAAAAACACCGTATGAAGTACAAAAATCATTAATAACATTTAATATATTATAAATATTCATATACATGTATTTGTGTATAAGAAAACAAGTGCGTACATAAATATATGCATGTGTATTAGGAAGAAAACGTTATCTACTCAAGGAGATGCTCTCAGGGGAGAAGGTTCAGGGGAGAGGTAAGAGTCAACACAGAGCACTTCAGGTTAGAGATCTTCCTGAAGAATCCAAATCCCTCCCCTTTGCTCCCCCATAGTCCTGTGAGGTAAGACAGTATCGTTCTCTCCTTTGTACACAGCAAACTCACACATACAGGATAAACCTCATGGGGATATTTAGACATACAGCATCCCACTGACTCCAAAAGGTAATTAAGAGACAAAACACCTTTTGCCAACCACCCCCTAGGGGACTTCCGAGCTCTATAACAAAACAAGACTGACAAAGCATATAAAAATCCAAGTCTCAGGCTAGTACATTGACCACAAGGCTGTTCTCTCTTTCTCATCTGTACTCACAGAGCCCCAGCTGCAGATGTGTTGTGCAGCTCATCAGGAAAAAGATGGAGTCAGAACCTCAGGCCAGGCCAGGGCTGCAGCAGAGGGGAAGGGACAGTACAGGGGCTTGCCAGGAGGTGCAGGGAGCTGGACTCACCAGGAGAATTGCAGAATGAAAATTCACACGCATCCAAACAGCAGGGTGCTTAGCTAGAACAACAAAAGGACTCCATCACCATTTCCTTTCAGTTCACTGCCCCAGGAGCACACGTTCACTCCCTACAGTGCAATTATTCTGCACAACATTCAAGGATACAGAGCCTTCCATCGCTCCTCAGAGATATGGCTTACAAAACAGATTTCTAAGGATGAATGAAGATATGATGCTTGAGTCACATTCAGACTCCAGTCACTACCATTTTTAACTTTTTCATTGCATAAGCACAGCTCTTGGGGGGGCAGGTAGAGCAAGGGAAGGAAACCATTAAAAGGGTGTGCACCTAAGTGATTTTACCCAGGACTTCAGCCACGGCGCCTCACGTCTTTTGACAAG